CCAAATGTGTTTAACTCCGTTTTATTTCTCCACATATATATAATTGGAAATAAGATATAACAAGTACATATATTCAAAAAAAGCATAGTTGACAATATAATTACACTAACATAATTACATTTACTAAAACATAGTAAGTCACAAATAAATTGCATTATTCATCATCTGAATTATAATAACCTTCGTTATCGTCGCTATCATCACTTTCAGTATTTTGAGATAGAATATTTGAGAGGTAGTGAAAACAGTATTCCTGATTTTCTTACAAGAGAGTTCCTGCAGGACAAACAAGCAGAGCCATGTCAAAACATGTACATTTCATTTCAGCATATATTTATAAGGTTTTGATATAACAAGTACATTTCATTTCTTTACACTACCCTATTAAATTATAAATAAATTACATTATTCATCAGATGAACTATAATAACCTTCGTTATCATCACTATCATCACTATCCGTCTCTCAATCCTCTTCCTCCTTCTCCTCCATAAGTACATCATCGTCGTTGTTCGGGCCCATGGTTGGATCGTATCGCGGAAGATCACCGAGGTCAATTGTAATTGACTGAATCGGTATTTCTCTTGAAGACACTACTTCAGGCTGAAACGGTTCCTGAACAACATTTGTATTGCGAAGCTTTTTTGCATCATTTTCCATGCAAGATTCTAAACGTTGGTCAGCAACGTCGACGGTGTTGTCAGATGGGTCTAGTTCTGATATAGCATACACGTTCCTTTGATCAATCTGTTGAACAACTTTCTACCCGCTCCCTGCGTTAGGGTCATCTAGATAGACAATTTGTTTTGCCATGTTTGCCAAAATGTAAGGGTCGTCATCATATCAAGTTCTGTTTATGTTCACAGATAGTAACCCATGATCGATTTTAACACTTCCCTGCCTATTTGGGTTCGTATCAAACCATTGACACTTAAACATGATCACTTGGTATCGGTCTTTGTAAAGCAATTGCACGACAGTTGTGAATTTGCCATAGAAATTAATGTCCGTACTTTCGCCTCCACCCGGAACAAGGACACCGCTGTTTTGCGTACACAACTTGTCATCTCGTGCAGTCCCCAAAAACTTGACGCCGTTAACATGGCAACCCGAGAACAATTCATCCCGAAGTGGGCCGAATGCCAAGTTATATAACTCTTCACTGCAAGTGGGGGAATTCTCTGATTTCAACTTAGTCACCTAGTATTATAAAAAAAGTTCACATGTTAGTTTGAGAAAATTAAATACTACAATATATATGTCAATTACAAAACACTTATAACTTACATATTCCAAAAACCATTTTGGAAACAATTCACGGTGTTTCTTGGAATACAAATGTGATGGATGTTCTCGCTTCATCATCTCTTCATGCTCATCTAAGTATGCCATTATCTCATTACAATTGTTCAATACGAACCAATGAGCTACCTCCATGTCATTTCTAGAAAACGACTCTCCTCGTATAGGAGCTCCAAAGGGTCGTGCGCTTTGGGTAAAAATAGAAAGTTGCTCATTTCTCACACCTCCGTCATTATTGCACTGAGGTCGATTGAAAGCCGTGTCCACATCTTTTAAATACATTCCACAGAAAGTAAGCGCCTCATATTGAACTCAAGCCTCTACAATTGATCCTTCGGGCTTCGCTCTGTTGCGTAAGCTTTTTTTCTGCTCTCCGAGAAGCCTGCCAAATTAAAAAGAAAAGATGCAAATTAGCAAGTAGCAAGCATGGGATAAAGATGCATACAGAAATGATGAGGATTATATACCTTTCTATTGGATACATCCAGCGATAGTTGACTGGACCAGCAAGCAATGCCTCTTCTGGCAAGTGAACCATAACGTGAATCATACTTGTGAAGAAAGCTGGAAGGAATATCATCTCAAACTTGCATAGGACGTGGATAATGTCATGGCGCAACTGATCAATGTCTGTCTTTCGCAACGTTTTTGCCGTCAGTTGGGAAAAAAATCTGGACAACAATATGATTTGCTTGACTACATTCCGACAATAGGTGTCGAATCCCCACAGGAAGTAGGCGTTGCATAAAAACATGCCAGTCATGGCTCTTGAGTCTAGTAAATTTACCCTTGTCAACATTCACGCAACGTGCGATATTAGAAGCATACCCGTAAGGAAACTTTACAGACGATACAAACTGTAGAAACTCTTTTTTGTCATTCGGTTTCATGGAAAAAAAATGCAAGATCCCTTATAGCTTTATCACTGCCCCTTTTTAGCCATAAACCCCTTTGTATGCCCATTCTTTCCAAATCAAGACGAGCTTTTATCGTGTCCTTTGTCTTTCCCTTGATATCTAGAATCATTCATATCAATGTGTCAAACACATTTTTCTCAACATGCATAACGTCAAGATTGTGCCACAATTTTAGTTTCGACCAATATGGGAGCTCAAAAAACATAGACTTGTGCGTCCAGTTCATATGTGTAGTAGGTCTGGTCCGACTAACTGTTTTCCCGAACGGAGCAAAATCCAAATGGTTAAGCTGTTCCAAGATCTGATCACCGGACGATTCTCTAGGTCTTGTGCGACGCTCTTTGTTCCCATCGAACTCTTTATCTTTTTCCGACCACTCGTGGTCCCATGGCAACCATCTTCGATGCCCAAGGTAACATATTTTTCCAGCATGCCAACCAGAAGTCACTCTTCCTTGCATATAGGGCATGCCATATAACCCTTTGTGCTCCAACCCGAAACTATTGCATATGCGGGAAAATCATTCACAGTCCACATAACTGCCGCCCGCAAAGTGAACATATTCCCGGTGGATTTATCGTACATGCACACACCGTTTGTCCATAAATCCTTGAGCTCATCAACTAACGGCCTTAAGTACACATCGATTGACCTGCCAGGATCCTCAGTTATCAAAACAGTCATCATCATGTACTCTTTTTTCATGCATTTTCAAGGCGGCAAATTATATGGAAATACGAAAATTGGCCAAGTGCTGTGGTGTTGGTTTAGAACCCCGTACGGATTGAATCCGTCAATGGCAAGTCCCAACCTAACATTTCGGGGATCAACAGCAAACTCGGGGAACGTTCGATCGAACTCTTTCTATGCCTCCCCATCTGCAGGATGCCGCATCACATCGTCGTCTACACGTTTTTCCTTATGCTATCTCATGTTTGTGGCAGTATGCGTCGACATATACAATCGCTGCAATCTTGGTTTCAGGGGCAGATAACGCATGACTTTTAGTGGAATCTTAGTCATTCTATTCTGAGAGGTCTGTTTGAACCTTGACTCATTGCATATAAGGCATGTATCTAATGTTTCATACTCTTTGTAGAATAACATGCAATTGTTTTTGCAAGCGTGGATTTTTTCATAACCCAATCCAAGACCACTCAACATCTTCTGTGCATGTCTGTGGTCTTTCGGCAAACAATTGTCCGTCGGAAGCATTCTCTTGAAAACCCCCAAAAAGTAATCGAAACACAGGTTCGACATACGATACTTTATTTTTCCGTGCATTAGCTCCACAATCGTCGTCAGAACGGAAAGCTCTTGCACCCCGGATATAACTCTTAGTTGGCATTTCTTAATAGTTTTTCATACTGTTCGAACTCTGCACTATCCATTGGTGTTGGTACGTCATCTTCCCCTTCCTGATTGCTGCTGGTCGATGCAAATGGAAAAGCATTATTTATAATATCCATGACTTGTTCATTAGGATCCACAATAGGTTCCACATTGTCCACTCTTGTAGCCCTTGAAGACGAAGCAATGTCTAATTGTTCCCCGTGATGGTTCCACCTGCTGTATGTCTCAATCATTCCATTCCTTACTAAATGAAATTGAACATTTTCAATTGTATCCCACAACATGTTGTTACACTTTCTACAAGTACATCTGATTCTAGTTGCACCCGGGTTGTGTGACCGTGCAAAGTGAATAAATTCCTCGATTCCATCCAAGTATTCGTCTGCGCACCTGTTAGGGTTCTGTATCCACATTCTGCTCATAATTACTGGAACCACAATCACAATACAACAATCAAGTTGTATTCTTATAAAATCATAATGTCACCTTATGTCTCCGGTAAGGGCCCTATCCCATTCGGAAATGCATAGTCATGTCACGTAATTTACAGCTACATGAGATTAGATTTCGACGTGGATGAATTTCGGCAGCATCTCGCTACAGTTCTTGAGGCGTACAGTAGATATCAAATACCTACGTACCACCCGAAGAACGTACCGAGATGACACCGAAATCTCCACAATCGAAACCTAATCCTGTAGCTGTAAACTACGTGACACGACTATACATTTCCAAACTGTCCAAAATATGGGACAATTCAAGAATTAATTGGACCGTAGTCATGATGAGGACTTTTAATTTTATTTTGTTATGAGGACTTTTAATTTTATTTTGTTATGAGGACTTTTAATTTTATTTTGTTATGAGGACTTTTATTTTTATTTTTATTTGCATATGCCTATATAAATGGACATTTTTTTTTTATGCCCCTCTCAATTGTGGGCCCCGGGCGATGCCCTAGTTGCCCTGGCCAAGGGCCGGGCCGGGTCAACACTGGTGATTACTCCAATTGCCGTATTGTATAATTTTTCCACAGGCATGGCCACTTAAAAAAGTCTGTCCGGTCCATTTTTGTCCTGCATGTGATCAAAACAAAAGTTCAACGTAATCAATTAGCTAGATAATTGATAATTGCAAGCACTAATTATAATTTTATTATATAATTAATGTGAACTTCTCTTTCAAAGGTGCATGTGTCCGAAGAAGTCAAATATTTTGTATTTCTTTTATTTTATTTTTATTAAATATACTCGCACAGTAAAGCTTTGAAAAAAAAAAAAATGAAAATCTTGAACCTTTCTCCACTCAAAGTCCTTTTTTACAAGACTTTTCCAAGTCTTTTTTTTTTTTTTTGCTGGGAAGACTTTTCCAAGTTGATCATTAGGAATATTGTATATAATAGTAACTTATTCCATTTTCAAGAGGTCCATGCCGTCTTAGAAACACACGTTCAAAAACATCTAGTCTCTATTGCTAATTGAACATAAGAAACTCTACAGAGAATAGAAGACTTTTCTTTTGAGCTTTCATCAATGGCAGGTAAGTACTATTATGAATAATATTTTTATTTGATTCAAGATCTTTTCCTTGATGTGATTCTATGTGTGTATAGGGTTTAAGGAATTTATGTAATTAGTTTACAATAGTAACTTCCATCTCTTGAAAGATTATCTTCCATCTGATTTTGAAGTATTGGCCTCCACTTATTTGAAGATCTTTCCATTTTTATCTTTGCATATACATAAGATGGGTCTCGATCTCGATCTGAAACTGAACAACTGAACCAGAGCCCCCAAGAGAGGGTAAGAAACCGCTTTCCTGGTCGCTCCAGAACGCTTTCTGGACAAGAGCCCCAAGAAGAAAGAACTGACTCCAACAAAACGAACTTAGTGAGGCAGAAAATACTGATGAAAGCAATGAGACCAACAACATTAATGAGAATTATTTCTCTGCAATTGGAAGCACAGATGTTGGGATTCACCATGCTTACAACGAAGAAGGCGGAGGAGGTGATGAAGCAAGGATGAGGAGAAACCACAACATTTCTCGCAATAGATTTTATGCAGAAAACAGCCGTCAGGTTGGCATTAGCAACGTTGGCAACAAGAACTACAACAAGTCGAGCATACCATTTCTTCTTGGTCTTCTTATTCTTCTTGTTCTAGCTTTATTTTTATTTTTTTTCTCTTTTTATATATTAACGGTGAGTAAGCAAAACAAAAAATGAAGCAAGTGGCTTGAGTGAAAAAGAAGGCACGACCGAGAAGAAAAAGAAAAAGAAGACAAAAATCAATAAGTGAGAAAGAAAGGTTCGGCTTGGAGTTTCCAGTACTATTACGTAGCGGAAGGGTTTGGAGATGTATGGCCACCAAAGCTCCTATACTCAAACTTTTCTTTGTGTTCCTTTCTCTGAATCTGAATCTTATTTCTCTTATATATTTATGTATTTCTTCTTCTTCTACATGCCATAAGTATATTAATATATGAGTATTATTTCTTTTTCTTCTTGTGTACATGCCATAAGTATTATTTCTTCTTGTTTTAGCCTTTTTCTTTCATAGCCATTGAAGTATATCAGGGTGAGAGTAAGCAAAACGAAAAAGAGAGAAAATCTAAACAGAGAAAGCAACAAAAAAAAAAGGAGATTAAGAAATGTATAAAGTCTTGAACCACATCATTATATACAGAAGCTGCGTGTTTGAGTCAGGCTTTCCAAGTGAAATCACCTTTTCTAATTTTGTTCATGAACTTTACTAAAAGGAAAAGGTGTTGCCATGTTACCTTACTAACAGCATTGCTTGAATAGAAACCCCAATCAAGGAAAGTGGGTAAGCCACAAATTGTAGTCATCAGATGATTTTTGGTTAGATTAATGATTGATATCTTGAAATGTGGATAAGCCACTCTTTGACATGACATATATAAGAAAAATTAAATTTAACGTGTAAATAAATAATTACTCATGCATGAATAAAAGAAACATCGTCAGATCAGTTCGGGTAATATACTGCCATACAACACACCAAGGAGAGCGAAAAAAAAAAAAAAAAGAAAAAAAAGAAAGAAAGAAAGAAGCAAAATTAGAGCAAAGTGCTCCACCTAACAAACATGGAAATGAACTCCAGCCTCTTTCTTTATTCAGCAGCGCAGCTCCCTTACTTTCTCTCTTGTTTATTTTTACCAAAACTTATACCATGGCTTCTTGCTCGTTCCTTCTTCTTTCCTCGAGTTGTAGTACTTGTTGCCAAATTTTCCGATCCCAACAAACTCCCCCTCTTTTGAATCAATCTTGTTTCCATCAATGTTGTAGTCAGTTTTGTTTTGACCCTTACTTCCTTGATGATGATCAACAGCACCACCTTCATGATATTCGTTGTTGAAGTCGAAAACCCCAACGTTTCTGCTTACTGCTGCGGCAATTACATTCTCATGAATGTTCCAGGTCTGGTTATTACTATTTTCTGCCTCACTAGTTCTGTTTTGCGGGAGTTCTGATTCAGTTTCTTTTTGTGGGAGCACTGTTTCAGTTTCTTTTTGTGGGAGCTCTGTTTGAGTTTCAGAAAGTTTTCTAGAGTAACCAGTAAAGGGTTTTGTTGCTATTTGTGCCTAATAAATCATGGCCGTGAGCTGGCCGAAGGAGCCCCCTTTCTCGGCCCTGGCACTTGCTCGTAAAACTGAAACGCAGCATTTCAACAAGGTGCTTTGCCTTCCTGAAGACAAAAGAAAAATGCTAAGGCATGATCATGTTGGCCTCGAGAGCAGGCCGAGGCCGAGGCCAAGCAAAATCGCGGCCAGAAATATTAAAGTCAGATCATCACGTGATAGCAGGGACCCATGTTTCATTTAATGAAGTAGCGCCTGTTTAATGCAGCAAACCCACTGGCCACAAATAAGCATTTAATGCATGAGGAAAGGTGGGAAGTGACTGAAGTCAGGTTTTCACGACAGAAGACAGAGTGATTAGACGTAGACATTCTCACAAGAATTCTTGCAGCTTGAGAGATTAGGTCACCAGCTATCAGAGCAATAAATGCGTCTCCACGACCAATTGCGCAGAAACCACGATTAGGGCGGCGGCCGATATTCACCAGGATTTATGGGGTCACACCACCATGCTTCACGATCCCAAATGTCGATTGGACACCCACTTGCGCTAATCAGACTCCACTATGCGTAAATTCAGCCTCGATTACTCATCCAGGAACTCTTCTTATAAATACAAGGCTCAAGCTACATTGAAAGGGTTCAAACACCAAACCAAAGCCTCCCACGGAGCAACTTATTTTTTCCTGTAATGCACTTTCAATATCTTTACTTGCTTTCCTAGGAGTAGTGTTAGACTGTAAGGAAAATTCATTCATCAATATATCATACGACCCTTGATTTTCAAGGCGCCGGAGCACCATCCCTGTTATTCGCTCACTCACCCCAGATATCATACGACCGTCGCTCCCTGAGCAGAGCGCCGGAGCACCGCCCAAAACCCACCAAATAGCACCACCAACACCATCACTCAACGGCCTTGTAGTTCAGGCCGTGAACCTAACAGCCGAGACTAGTTCCTGTCTCGGATACAATCGTTTGATTAGAAGACGAGTTCAAACAGGCGCACCACTCAACCATTCTATCCCCATCAACCAACTCGACGCACGGTAGACCGTGCTGGCACGCCCGCGCACAACTGCACCGCACCCAAAAGCAGGAAACCGCGTGTCAACGCATATCCCCTCGGCCCGGAACTCCAGGCCGTGAGATTTGCGCGGCAGACAGTTGCCATCTCCTTTTGCAGGTATTCAGCTTCATTTGGAAATAACAAAAAAAAAAAAGGTATAGTCAAGACTCAAAAGGTATTTTATGTGGGTAGAAAAATTTCGTTTTTCCTATTGGTGTTCATGTTTCTTTCACATGATGGGACTCAAAAGGTAAGAAACCGCTTTCCTGGTCGTCCTAGAATGCTTTCTGGACAAGAGCCCCGAAGAGAAAGAACTGAACAAGAGCTCCAGCAAAACGCAAATAGTGAGGCAGAAAATACTGATGAAGCAACGAGACCTTCAACATTAATGAGAATGATTTCTGCGCAATTGAAAGCACAGATGTTGGGATTCATGATGCTTACAACGAAGAAGGTCACTACTACATTTTACAATTTGCATGACAAAGAAATTTTCGTTGCGCAAAGTACATTTCAATCGCACAAATGTCTGCGCGATAGAAAATTTGTCGCGCAGAATCCGTCGCCCAAAGATCGTGAAGCTAGACTTTGCGCAACCAAGATTCTTCATTGGTCGCGCATAACTGAGCGACGGTTAGCAACAAAATTATTCGTCTCTCAAATCTTTGCACGACGACACCACAGTCGTTGCGAGTATACAGCGCCAAGGTTTATTTTCGTCGCGCAAAAATGTAGGGACGATGCACTATTCGTGTCGCAAACAATCTTTGCACGACGACATGAAGTTCGTTGCGAGTGTACAACGCGACGGTTTATATTAGTCGTACAAAAATGTAGGCACGATGAACTATTCGTGTCGCAAACATTTGCGCAACCACTTCTGTTGCGTGACGAAATAGTCGTAGTCAATTTTTTTATCGTGTAAATACGTGAATTAGTGCGACGAAACTCGCATAAAATATATTTTATTTAATTTTAATTTTATGTTTTTTTTATTTTGTAAAAAAAAAAATTTGGTTTATTTTTTTGTAATGAAATGAAATTGCAATAAAAAAAATGTAATGAAGAGAATTTTTTTTAAATAAAATAATATAAATGTATAGTACAAGAGAAATGTTTAAAATGTAATTAAGAAAGTAAAAAACTAATCAAACAATATTCCAAAATCTACTTGGTCATCTGGCAAATGTGGCTCGAGGTCTGAACATTGTCGACAGGGATAGAGGTGTGGTGGCCATGCTCGTGTTGGCGGGGCTCGGATGCCGACGAGGGAGCAAAAGGTGGGATTGGAATGCCAGACCGAGCGAGGGACTCTAGAAGATGTGACAAATGACCCTTAAGCTCGGCCACCTCTGCTATCAAAGCAGTCCCCTGACTGTTTGACTGCAACGATGAACGAGGTCTAGGTTCCCGCCGCCGGGCATTCCCCATCCCTCGAGAATATGTCCCTGGCCTCCTCCCGAGAGTCTGATCCAAGGTGTCCATCAGGATCTGAAACCCCACATCCTGTGGAGGATCCACAGACTTGAGCGAAGTATCAGGAGGAAGTTGGGAGGCGGACTCCTGAAGAACCAACTGGCTCTGTTCCATCATTGTCGCCTGTTGAACATAACATAAAATATTAATTAAAACATTCATATAATAACCATGAAACTTGAATGCGCATGATAATAATTAAAATTAAAGAATACTTACATGAAGGTACTCCGCCAACTCATTCCTAGGTTGAACATAAACGTTGCCAAAGACGTCGATCTCCGGGAATTTGGAGCCCCCCTGAATTGAACAAGAGAAGAAAAATGTTAGTATGGAAAAAACAAATTAATATTAATGACATATTAAAAATTAAATAAAAAAGGATTTATTATTACCCACCGCCGCACCTCCATCCTATATGAGAAGGGCATGAAACCTGAATGGTGGAGAAGAGTCTTCTTGTAACTATTGCCCTTATTTGCTTTCGCCTTCTTCTGTTATACCAAAAATAAATGTATTAGTTGAAATTGAAATGAAATATAAAAAATTAAATAAACATTAGTAAGAAACGTGTAATAATTTTCAACTTAGTATAAATAAAAAAAACCACATAATCGAACTATTGAAAATGACCGCAG